TTCCTGCCACTGATAATGCCTAACAGAAAGGCTTATTAACTCTTTTTGTGTTTAGTGTAGATTTCCAACAGCAATAGAAATGCACAATGGATCAGAGCAGTACAAGTGACATTTATCTTCTTTCTAAGTAGCTAGCAAGTTCCCAGGCTGGTGCAGTAGGGTGAATGAGGTCAGCGCTCAGACACACAAATGTACAGAAGCAACCAATTTGGCCAATTTGTTATGTGACCTCATCTACTCTGTACTGATCAACAAAGGTCTCCTAGCACTCTTTTTAAGGATTAGTGGAGTTTTTAAAAATCTGATTGGCTGCCTATATTTAGCATTGTTCTTGTAACTGAACTTCCTTATATAATTTCCCCTGCACTTTTATATTAAATTCACTGAATACTCTCTACAGCTCAAGATACAATTAGCATTTTAAACAAGTATTTTACACCTTATCTTTTGGATCTTTTTTAATCTGGAAGATAGAAATCTGGAATGGAGATAATGAGGTTCACTTAGGTCACTTTCTTTTTCCTTCAGATGCTTAAGAAAAGGGTGTCAAAATGAAGGGATAATGTACCTTTTATATAACATTTTAATTCAAGTCTGGCAAAACTAGGGACTGATTTAACATCTGACAGATATAGTTTAACATCCCTGTTCAAAATTAGTATATATTGCAAAGAATGCCTGATACAAAGGGGATGAGTAAGTAGCACTTTCTTTGAGAGAAGATACTGTCACAGAGAATACCATTTGTCAGAAAAGCTTTCCTGACTCTCAAAAAATAAGGCACAAATCTGTACAAAAACTACAGCACAAGAGATTGAACCATGTTTACTTAGTTCCAAAGATCAGAGCAACAACTACACTTTCATGACAGAGGTACAGGTTTAAGTCATATGATATATGTTATACTATGGATAATAAAGAGATTAGAAGATCAATCTACTAATTAAAAATTCACACAAACTGCTAAGAAAAATCTCACTGGATAAACCAACAATCCATCTAGCATAGTATTTTGCCTCTGCCAGTGGCAACGAGAGAAATTATTTAGGGAGTGCATGGAAGCCTGGAAACTTTCTGCAGTTTACTCCTATCACAGTCTTCCAGTACCCACAATTGCTTTAACAGGGACATTAATGAGTACATCTCTGCCTAATCATTTTGTCCATTTATGAAACAGCTGTCTATTAACTTGTCCAATCAATCCCTTTTCTATTCGCTGATACAGTCTGCTCACTGGATTTTAGGTTTGGGTCAACTGAGTGAAAACTGAATGCATTAATTCTGATAATCTAGGATTTTTTCTCTTCATTTTACATTCAGTACCTATGCAGAACAAAACTCACTAAATTATCACTGCAATAATTGCAACTATTAATTTGTTAAACTATCCCTACCAAAGACAATGATATTCTGGTCTTAGTATACAAAAGTGTTGTTCTTCTGGTAGGCTCCAAACATGAAACTCTCTTGGCTTGTGATCTGGGCTGGAACACTGTTTTTGAATCCAGTCGCTGCTGACTGCAACATTACTTCTCAAACTGTAAGTTTTATATGAATGTAAGTTACCCTTATTTTTTAAAGATACACTAGAAATTAAAGGCATTTTTAAAACTACCTTGTAAACATAAAATTCCTGAAGAAAGAAACAGAGACAAATAAGAAGATGTGGTTTCCTGCAAAATGGACAACTGACATTGACAGTCATTGTAACTGGGTGAATAACAATGAAATGTATTTGAGATGGTTTTATATCTCAGTCAAATTTCTCTGCAGACAACTGGATTGCCTTCTTTATCTTTTGGGAACGGATCTAAAAAGCAACAGTTATTTGGACAAGACTAGCTACTGATCAAGTGAGAAAGATTTATTGAGATAGAACTTGCCCAAAGCAGGTCCAAATATATATAAGAAATGTATTATTTTCAGAGGACAAAAACGTGTCAAGGTATTGAGAGCAAACACTCTCAAATCTAAAATTATTGCAGCTATGCTAAACTTCAACCCAGAAAACCAAAACAAATTTAAGTGCTATATTTATAATGAAAATATATGCTAAAAGTTTTGTTGAAGGTCTGCTCCAATGATGCTCTGAAAAGTAAACACAGCTGTTTTAAAAACAAAACCATACATTTGAAAAAGCATATCTGAGTTAATTATCAGCCTTGAATCCACTTTCCTTATGACACATAGGTGGGAAAGGCATTCTTTGTCTACCCATCCAACCTTCACATAGAATTCTAAAACAGAAGCCCTACTAATTCCAAAATGGCATGCCAACCCAGTTATATTTTGGATGATCATCACATTAAGAGCCTTGCATCTCAAACAGAGTTAAAGCAGTAGGTGATCTGGAACTTCAGATCTCTAAACAAGAGGATTAATTCCCCTGAAACACCGGACCACGAGTATATTTTAAAAAAAACTAAATAAAATTGTATGAGGAGCAGTAGTACTTCTGTTTAAAAGTGCTGGCATTAAAAAATACAAGATTTTTCACACCCTTAACAGTCACCACTGAGACATCTTCATCACTGGACTTCCCCACAGTATTTAATTGTTGTCATTCTCTTTTTTATAACAGGTCACTTGTGAGGAGTCTGGAAAGAACCTCTCCAATATCCCCCCTAACCTTTTCCAAAACATTACTAAATTAAATCTCAAAAATAATAAAATCACTTTAAAAGAGAGTGACAAAGAGACTCTTCAAAGTTTTATTAACCTCACTGAGCTTTATCTGAATGAAAACATGGTTACTGTGCTGCACAATTACAGCTTCTGCAATCTGACAAAACTCGTAATTCTGGATATCAGCAACAATCATATTCTCATAGTTCATACAGCAGCATTTGCAGGATTAAGTCAACTGTCAGTGTTGAATCTATCCTATAACAAGATTACTCAACTAGATTCAGCTGTATTTACTTACCTAAAAAGTCTGGCAGTTTTAAATCTACAGTCTAACTTTCTGAAATCTTTTCACATAAAATCCTTTCAATTGATTAAAATAGTTTTAGCTGGAAACCCATGGACCTGCTCCTGTGATCTCCTTGATTTACAGATATGGCTAACTGCCTCCAATGTGACAATGGGTAAGTTTTGGTAAGAGCATCATTTCGTACCTGTTTACATCAAACAGTTCTATATTGTTTATTCCCGCTCTGTATCATATCCACCATCAACTTATCTGTATTTTGCAGTAATACCTTAGTTATCCATGTAATTTTTTAAAATGCCAATTAATTAACAATATCTCATAGCCCTTCCACTGCTCACATTCACAGAAAATGAAAACAGCACTACATGCACATTCCTAAACACCCAGGAAATATCCTCCATTAAGATGGCACCTATCCAATCAGATGACTGCAAAATTGGAAAAGCTTCTTTAGAAAATACTGTAGCTTCCACTTCTGCCATTAAACTTAGAAGTAGTTCCTTATCAACAGCTCTGACTCCAAACAACATCACAGGAAACAATGGAACGCATGCAGGTAATATACTGTTGTTTTGCTTTACTGCTTACAAAATGTTTGATTTGCTGTTTCATGACTTCATACCATTTTGTATTTTTAGTACACCCTAATCCTTCCATAAAAGCCAGGACTTTGTGTTTTTTTTTAACAAGCATATTTCCAGGTTTTGGTAGGCTGTAGACACATTGTGGTGAATGTCAGCTCTAATGAATAAGTGTTCAAAACAGATAAACAACACCCGAATTCTCAAATACTACTACAAACTGATAATGATATTTCAAAGGCTTGAAATTCAGCTAATTGTCCAAATCTCTGCCTAACAAAACTAGGCAAGTATCTTTAAAAGAATTCAATTACTTCTTCCAAACTACCTACTTTCTAGGCATAGCTGTCTTCTTAAAATGTGAAAGGGTGAGCCTACTAATTTCACTCCTACCCTCAATTGTGTTTAGTGTAATGGATACTGATGTGCACATTTCATATTCTTTGAAAATTTCAGTGAGAGTCTCCTTACTTTCTTTAACTTTTGATGTTAATTCATCATTCTCTAATAGTCTAGCTTTTGTTTTGGTATTTTTTTTCTTTTATATGCAAATTAATGTTTGACTCCACACTTCCATACTGAAATGCTTTACTTCTTGCTTCTGGCTAAAGTGGAAGTAGTATCAGTCTCCAGATGCATACAGAAATTGTTAGCCACCACTGCCACATACTACTTCTGTTGTAGCAGCTATAATCCATTTTAGGACAGTGGTCAGCACATAAAACCAGCTTCTACATAAAGACTACTGGCAGCTACACTCTACTGAAATTTTTATAATAAAAGAAGTACAACTGAAAGGATATGTCAAACAAAAGATGTAAAATTTTAGGGTGCTGACATTATCACCACGCAGAACTTTAAGCCTAAGAAATACAATTTGAAGTCAATTACTGATTTTTCTTCTCCAAAGCCCAATTTTGGAATTTAAATTTTTAAAATAAATAAATAAATTAAATAAAATAACCTTTTGTATGTCCTCAGAACTTCATCTGACTTTGAAACTATTATTTTTGATAAATATGCATGGTGGATTTAGAATCCTAGGAAATAAAAGATGTACATGTATTTTTGGTCTGAGTGATGTTACTGACTGTCTAATAACATAGCAATAACATTCTACTAAAGTTTTGGAGACATTCAGTAATTCCTGTCATTGTTCATTTTGTGAGTTCTCAATTTAACCATGAAAAAATTCATATTAGATTTCTTGCTGGTATTCTTCATGAAGATTTCTCTTCTTTTTTCCCTGTCTGTTTTGAAGAGTTACCACTTCCTGGCAAAAGTTGGACCTTCCTAGCAGGTGTCCTAGGGTTTGTTCTAAGCACTACACTGCTGATTTTTACTGCTACAAAATGCCCAACGTGGTATCGCTATCTGATCAGCTACAGTCACAGTCGTCTGAAAGAAAATGACTCAGAGATGCTTGAACAGGAGTTCTCAGCTGACATGAGTTCCTCTCCTACAGAATTGAGTACAAGCAACGAAGAACCCATAGTAATATTTGAGAAAATTCATGCATTTGTGCCTGCGGAAGAAGGATTTATTGAGGATAAATACACAGATTCTTATGTAACTGAGGAAACTTAGTGTCTTAAACAATGGATGACCAACTGACTTTTCAAAACTGTAATACACTTGTACTTCCATATTAATGCTACTTGTGTACAATACAAAATTAAGCTAAGCAGTCTATCTCCTTTCATCCCGTCAAATCCACAATAAGGTATTGCTGCATGAATAATGAAGTTAAAAAATACAGTGATGTGCATGCATGGGGGTCACAACAAATATTTCAAAACATGCAAAAAATACTAATAATCCACTTCTTACAAAAACCTATTTGGTTATTTATGGCAGGGGCTTACTGTATCTTGCTTAACAAGAACAAGTCTTCACAAAGCAGCTGGTGAAGCTGGCATAATCACTAATGATTTATATGTGAAGAAGTCCAGAAAGGAAAAATAATTTCTCTAAAATGTTGAAGCAGACTACAGTCAGACTGGGGACTGAATTCAAATCAGTGGTGGCACAGCTCAGTAGTCTGTTAGGCAAAACAAACGCAATCAGAGAACAAAGCATTTGGGTTTATTTTTTCACCTGAATTAGCAGAGCAAGAAAGACCAACTGCTCTAGTCCCTTAAATGTGCCTACTATACAGTACAATTAGAAATGACCATTGCTGCATATCTAATGCCTTTATGCCTTAGTTTGCTACTGAACCAAGTTTTTTCTCTTCACATTTTCTTAACACTTAAAAATGCATTCAGGGGTAGAATACCATATAGACATGCTACTCCAGAACACAACCTCCAAATCTCAGGATCCTGACAGCAGGTTGCCAAAAGACAAGAGTCTCCACTGCCACCTAGCTACCCATGGATGACATGATAAGTATCTCCACAACAGTTATTCAGAAGAGTTTAAAGCTGCAGCCTGCCACTGATGTATCATCTTGAAATTGCTTAGGTATCACTGGTGGCATTCATCTCACTGTTAAGGAACTTCTGAATTAGATAGTATCTCAATTTTGCCAAGTTCAGTTACAATTTTAACAGCTTTTGAGAAGCATACACTTCATGTACTTACGTTTGTCTTTCTGTGAAGATTTTATCCACACTCTGAGCATCTCGGTCATTTTGAACCTTTAACTTTAAAAAAAAAAAAGATATTTTGACATGATATATAATAAGAAAGGTACAGATTTTGTACACAAATTGAAAGTTTCCTTTAAGTGATCAAGAAGCTGCTCAGAACGCAGTACAGGAAAGAGCACCAGAGGGTGCTTGCTTCAAGGTTTTTCACAGTTGATACTGAAGAAAGACTTTCTAAAACTGCAGTCTTCCACTGGAAACGAAAGGAAGCAAGAAGGCATCTCTATGTTTAAAAAAGAAATATAATGAAATTCATAACAAATCAATTCACTTACTATTACTGTGGGATCTATACTTGAAACAGTAAAATACTGTTTAAGCCTATAAACAAAATGAAACACTTGCAAAGCATTCCTCTCTTTATGATACAGCCATTGTGACTTCATTTTTCAGTCAAATGCAGGGGGAAAAAAATAATGTTGTTTTGACCAAGAAATAATCAGGTGTTTTTTAAAGCTATCAAAATCCCGTTTTCTAAAACGAATTTATTTTGCCTATGGACAAAGTGATCATAAGAAATGGAACATGCTTAATGCTACTCAGGCCTTAATACTTAAAAGGGTACTCTAATGGTGTTAGAAAATAAAATAAGTAAAGGAAGAACAAAGCTCAGTCACTTTGTGGTTGGCCATGTCAGAGACCTATTTAATATTTATTACACTGGAGTAACTTAAAAGGCAGAAAACAAATGAAAAATAAATTTCCAGAAGACCAGGCAGCTTTGCAATGCAATACAGTCTAGTGAATTTGCCTTTCATAAGGCTAGAGTTCTAGCTCCCAAGTCAAATAAAGAATACACCTTAACACTCATAATTTGGGTTAGAATGGCAGCCTTCTCAAATCTAAAACACAGAAAACTATCACAGGGCTATTAATGCAATGCTTTACACAATTGCCTCACTAAAAAACATGTTGCCAATATTATGGTTAACTCAAATGGAAAAAAAGTTTCAAATTATAACTATGCTTTTTTAATATATGTCATATCTTTGAAGTACCAAGAATTTAACACACATTTCAGTGTTCAAATATAGCAAATATCCTATTTCTTACCATATTGTAATCTCGAATCACTTCTGTCATGTCTGTATTAGTGTTAAGTATATCCACAACCTGAAATAAGGCAGAATTCCAATGTGTTATTGCTTTTTTTTTAATTACACACAAAAAAACCAAATAGGTAGCAACCCACAAAGTGCTCATGAAAACACAGCAATTTTCTGATATTGCAAATGGAAAAAATATTATCTGGGAATCTTAATAGATTACATGCAGCTTGCAGAAGTAATCATAATTATATATAGCTGTACAAAACCCAAATGTATTGCACAGCAGTAATTTCTTAAATCCATATGCAAGCGCTTCTCCTAATGTATACTTTTTTCTTCTATACTTTCTTTAGTTTCCAACTTTTTACTTTCCAATAACTGAATAAAAGGCAGTATTAACCAGTACATTTTTACAGAGGAATGCCAATAAAAAAAGATGCTGAAGTGAAGCAAAAGCAGAACAAAGTAAGTGAGAGAAGGGAGAGCATTCAGTTTCAAAAGCTGAGAGCAGCATACCATGTTGTAGTCTGCTAGCTGACCTTGAAATTCTTTGATTTCACCTGCTAAAGCCTCTGCCCTAAATAGAAAATAAAAAGCCAAACTTAAGGTGGGAAGATTCATATATGTAAAAATAAAATAATGAAAAAAAGAATTATATAAATGTTCCTTGAAGCTTGCACAAGATCTGAGAACAGTCTTGTGACTGAGAAAGTTAGCGCTGCATAAGCTGCAATACTTCTCACCTTTTTTCATATGACAAATAGACAGATTTATCTTGCTTGTACATTTCTATTTCTTCCTGCAACTTGTTGACTTCTGTTGTGAGTTCATTTGTTTTGCCTCTGAAAAAAAATGATAAAACAGAAATTATATTTTAATAGAAGAGATGTGCAATCAGTATCTTCTTCTCACACTGCTCCATATTCAAATCAGTATTTCAAAGAAGAGCTGGAAAAATGAGGAAAAAATCAGAGTGCTTCTAGCAGATAAAATCATAAGTAGTTGTTAGAAAACCTGCATATGAAGGAAGATGTTTTAATTAGCTATTTGTCCCTACTGGTGAAAGAGATGTGAATTATTCTCAACTGGACAGGAAAAAAATCATAGTATCATTTCACAGAATGTGGGTATCATCCAATAACATCTTTTAGGACTGAATATTCAATACTGGAACATGATCAATTGACAAAGTAGTGCATGCAACAGTTTTCACAAGGCCTTGCCCTTGTCAGTGTTAGCTCGATGTATAATCCAAGTAAACCATTTGAAGTGTACACTAAAAAGTGCTTAGTTTGTGATGCCACTTCTTACAAATAGAGCTATGAGGAGTGTTACAGATGGAAGTTCAAAATCACTGGCCCTCCTTTTACTTGCATTTAACTTAGCAAGCCCAATAACAAAATGTCGAAGAAAATCACTTGTATTTGCATATAGGCATAAAATTCATCCCCTCCTGCAAACTATATGCAAAATGGCCTTAAATCTTTTAATGGCAGATTTCATTCCAAGTCAATATCACTTATCCCATGCTATTGTTAAGCACAACAAACTTTATGTCTGAAAGGGAACAGAGCATTAGGAGAACAGGCTGGAGAGTTGGGCAGGGAAGAAT